TGAAGTTTTTAGATCTTCTTCTCGAAATTTCAAGTTCACTTTTCTGGACTATATTTAACCGACTCTTATGAAATCCCAATAGCTTGTAGTACACAATTCATGTTTTCGTTACAAAATATCAGAAAATACTCTGTTATGTTGTCAAGATCTTGCCACCTACAAATATCACGCATCTATGAAAATATTTAAATATTAAGAAATCTTAAAATAGAAAGCCTAACATAAAAATCATACGTTTCAGTTTATCTTATCTTCTCTTTAGCAATAGTATCCTTTTATATTTTTCATTATTGAAAAAAGTCAGCCAAAGCATAGTAAAAACTTTTTTCAACGGGCGTGGACGTGAATATAAGAAGAAGATCTAAAAACTTCACGTATGCATTCACACTCTCAAGACTAGGCACTATCCCTATTGAGTTTAATATTATTGGTATACACTTCAAGGATCTACTAGTATAGAAATAATAGAATTGAGGTTATGCGCTTAGATGGTAGATAATGAAACATAGATATCCACAGCCATACCCAAATAATAATAAATAGTCAAATGACACCAATAGTATAATTTCTAAAAACTTCAGTTTTCACATTTGAAGCTCATTTATTGATTTTGTCTAATTTTCCTTCTGAAATTAGTAAATTAATATCATATTACATATGAGAGCTATTTTGAATAGATAATCAAGACGAATTTCATATATTTGAAGAATGTGGGAGTATACGTGTGACATGTGAGATATAATTGTGGCTGTGAATGCATGTCTTTTCTTCACTCACACCCACACTCGAAGTATCGATGTAGTTGTGTCAGATGTGAATCTCTGTCTTCCAGACCCTCAAACCTACACACCGCTGTCTTGAACCACAAATCAACAGTCACAGCGACTCACATGCCACACTTAGGAAGAAAGATTTACTAATGTGCTTAGGCTGGTTATGTGATTCATTAGCCCGCAATAGATATTTAGAAAAGTGCGCTTGCTTTCACGAGAAATACTTGACTTTTGAAAATTATCTAAGCATTCTATAGTGAACACCCTTCGGTCCTTTCAACAATGTTCACAATAGGGAAGTTTCGTTATAATTCATGAAGATTTTCTTTCCTATCGAAGAGAAATAGGTACGAATCTATTCAATAGTAAAATAGATCATCTCGACCAAGGGCCCAATCATCTTAAAATAAAAATAAGAGAATAATTAAAGAAAACTACTAGCAGGTTGTCGGATGTTTATCTCTTTTCGAACTAACACTTCATACTCGACAGCTAGAAGACGATTACAGTCGGGTCGACATGAACTGTTGATATATCACTTTAGTTCGAAGCACCTTCCGTGTCAACTCTTATGTTATACTGTCGATAGTTCTTGACAACTTGCAACATAGAATATAATTCATCCAGCGCATTCATATTATTAACATGAAAGTTTGATTAAGATGCATCTTGATTAAAGCACATAAAAGCAACAATAAAATGAATTCAAGAATTAAAAAAAATTGAAATGTTTATGGAAAATCTAGTTTAGCTATAAGCAGCATTCAGCGCAAAAGAAAAGTAAGATTAAACTATTCTGATTTAAGCATCTTTGTACGATAATGGTTTTGATCATGAATACCAACGAATTCACATCGTTCACATAAATCTATTCCACAAGAACAATGGTATCAAATGCCTCGAATCGGTTTCATCAAACATGAATTACATTGAACATTTTGATGTTCAACATTATTGGAACTGAGTAAATAGGATGACTGAGGATACGCGCGTGAGTCTTTAATACATAATAATGGATGGTCGTAAAAATGATTTGGTTCTCTATTTGCTTTACTAGTTGACTGACAGAATTGACAAAAGTCAACATTTGAGCAAAATAAACATTTGTAACGGTCTCCCTTTATTGGTGACATTTCACAACCATCACAAGTAACATTCAAATGAATATTCATGTTCGATTGCTCAACATTCTTCATTTTATTTTCTACTTCTTGTTCCACATCATCGTCAAAGTCCACTTTACATACATCGATCATTTCCTTATTACTACTTAATCGTAGTGTAACAATTTGTTTTTGTTGATTTGATTGACCATAATACTTGTAAATATGCACCATTATTGTCGTTGCACCAGTTAGACTTTGCTGATGATTTGCAAAGTATTTTGCTCGAACTGTATATGTCCCTTTGATTGCCTTGCGAATTAGATACTCTTCTGGTCCATAACCACGCGTAAAATCACGACTTATCATACCTCAAAAAGCTGTATTTTTATGCGAATAATAACATTCTTCGCCAGTTGATTCAATTACGTGTAAATCAACATCTGTATCATCTGTATCCCACACCAAAACTATTCTTAAATCAACAGGTAAATGACGAATAAGACGATTATCAAGAGATGCTGACATTTGCTGCTGTTGATGAAATTTAAATAGAAACCAATTCAATTCATGCAATGCTGTAACTTCAATTTCAGCAAAACGATTATTCCATTCACCTAATATAACTTTCTTAAATAGATCTGATATTTCTGTAATATGATTATATTGAATATTAGATTCTTGCAACAATACTGCAAGATCTCGAAATGATTGTGACTCATCCGATCGTAGAATTACAATGTGTCGAAAAAAATTCTCAGCTAAATTGAAAAGACCAAGTTCGACAAGTTTATAGGCAACTGTTCGTAATAATTGTGGTGATTCTAATTCTAATTCTAGTACATTGGTTAAAATACGTAAGCCAAAGTATACATATTGATTTGAATCGAAATTACTAGAACTAGTTTCATTTGAAACTGTTTGAGTGCTAAAAATTGACATTGAATGATGTTGATTAAATGTATCAATTGCTGATGTTTTCGAAAAAGGAGAACAAGCTTGTGAGAAAAAATAGGATGCTACATCGAAATAAAAAGACGGTGATTTAGCATAGGATTGACATTTATTTAAATAAATCTGATAAGCTGTTTGTATGTTAGTGCTCGCTTTAATTTTGTCCATGTATGGTGTTTTTGGATTCCAGTTTTGAAGAACAATTGTTTGAGTATTTATAGGACTACGTTCAGCAATAGTAGCATTAGTAGTGGTAGTAACAGTGGGGGTAGGAGAAGGACGAGGAGGAGGATGAGAATCACTATCGGAATGTCGCATTCGTTGCAATGATTGTCTTCGAACCTGAGAAGAGGCGAGAAGGAGTTCTTCTGGGCTTTCAGGCGCAGAGAAGGCCATTCTTTCTTTAGATTGGCTTAGGTTGGAATATAATTTCCTTAGTGATCTTTTTGCTTCTTCATGCATATGTTCAAATTCCATTCTTCTATGTTCTATTCTTTCACGTTGTTCTCTTTCACGTTGCAATAATTGATCTTGCTCTCTTTCAAGTACTCTTGTTTCATATTCCATTCGTTCAAATCGGCTTGTTTCATTTTGTATTTCGTGAAACTGTCTTTCGAGTTCGCTGTCGATTTCTCTATTTTGTGTTGCTGATTGACAGTCACGCATATGGTACCTTAACTCTTGCATGCGTTCATAATACGTCGCTAGTAGCCGTTCTGTTTGCCGTCGTCTTTCTCTACGATCATATAATTCAGATAGTATATGTCGCTCATCCGAAAAGTTCATATAGCTAGTATCAACAGTTCGTTTTTTATATGCATTCCTAGGATCTCTGTCTGTAATTGTTTTATCATACCATGAGCAACGCACTTGCCATAATTTTAAGACAGTTGCTATTTTTTCTTGATTTTTGCTCAACTCTTGTTGGTTTTTTTCATTTTGATACTTCATATAATCGTTGTATAGTGCGTTACGTGATTGATGTGGACATACATTATGTTCGATATGTTATTGCAATGTTTCTAGGACAAGCATGNGGTGCAGTTCTGTTTACTCAGCCACAGCCACAACCATACCCACACCCCACACCCACACCCACACCCACACCCCTAAAATAAAAAACATGACTTAAAGTATTGACTATAAAATTATTTTTATTTTTAATTTTGATAAATCTTTTCCACGCTGATGGAAAGTTCATGAAATAAGCACGTGTTGAAATAATCAATTATGATTCTCTATTTGTTCGTAGATAAACTAGTAGTGTGCGTGAAATATTTATCCAACATTTTTTTATATTAAGAGTAAAGTAGTGTAGATTTTCACTTCGAACCGTATGTTACTTAATATTCTCACAATCCTACAATTTTGAAAATTACTCTTCATAAAAAAAAATTCTAAAGCACCGTTTGCTGATCAGTGTCACATCCACACCCACGTATTCTCAATCGTATTGTTTTTAACAATACGAATAAGTAATCAAGGATTGAATTTTATGTATTATATTCATTTCTAATGAGTTTGTTCAAGCAATCATTGATGTTGTATATTCAATACATCGTAAGTGATATGAAGAGTTTACAATAGTTTATAGATTGTAGTTCCAGTTGAAATAGTAAATATCCATATATTATTGAGGATGACTTGAAGAATAACAATCAATATCGATTACGCATTAAAGTTTTTATTCACTATCAACTGTGAAAGTATACATAGATGGATCAAGAGATGTGTTTATACCAATCGATTACTAAATCTAACAGTAATAAACTAAAATCAAACATGAAAAAAAAGAAAAGAAAAATGAGTCAATGATTATATGTTCCTATCGAAGTTTTCTTTACTGCTTCTGTTGTTGATTGCATTCTTGTCAATATATGTTGTGCAGCCTTCTTGTGAATCAAAAAACTTGGTACAAAATGATGTAACATTGTACCAAAACTTGATCGAGTATCTCTGAAGCACGTTACTACGATAAATTTCACTTAGATAGTCATAAGTTTTTTCTTTTTCGAAGAATTTTATAATTATCTGTCACTTGTTACTCTTTTTCTCGTTTTGTTGGCTTATACATCAGTATGCACGAGTGCTCAGTGTTAGCAACTAATATAGTAGATGAACGTGACTTTTTGTGGATTTAAAGTTTTTCGTTGTGAAAGGTGAGTATGCTAGAAGACACATCACATTCCATATTTTTGTGGAACTGACACTTATTTTGGAAGAAAATAGTGAGTGTCAGTTTTAAGTCGAAGTTTTTGCGCCCTTCCCCTCCCCCTCTCTTCATGACAGACACTTAGCAACGCTTCAAAATTGAAAGTTATGACAAAATTTTTCTACAAATGTTAATTAACATTAACAAATATGTCATTTTTATAATCAATAATTTTCCTAAAATATTTATTATAAAATGTAGCGAATTCAATTTTGTACGTAATAGAATATTTTGGAAATTTTTCTGTTCTTTGATGTTGGCAAAACTGATACAATAATAAAAGCATCTTAAACTTTTGTCTGCTGGACAAAAACAATTTCTGTCATAAAAACTGTATCAGTTCACTGTTGATGTTTTCAATGTAGTAGATTCGTAGCTTGTCTCGAGAGCTATCGAAATCACTATTTTGATGTTGATTATAAACGGTGTTTAATGAAAAAAAGCGAAAAAAAAAAAAAGCAAATATGTTGTTTCCGTTTTATTTTTAGCTACATATAAACATTAGAATTACATGTTGTAATTAACTAAACGTATAGGAGAGGCTCTTTTATTATGTTCAAATCATCGAGCTGTCAAAGAAAATCCTATTAGGTATTTATCTTCTAATACAACTGATCTTCTATAATCGGTAAAGAAATTCTGATGACAAGAATTGGAAATATAATGAAAAATGTAAATTAAATTGCATAGCACTAGTTATATCTTATGAAATTCAAATCATTTGTTGATCAGTTCGATTGACATTTTGAAGACTACAAACCAACTTAGGTCGATGGTCATGTAAATGCAACGAGAAATATCATAACAAACAAAAACAAAAAAAAATGTTGTTAGTTTTCGAATCACTTCGATATGGCAGAAAAAAAGGGCTGCTCATCCTTTGTGTAGTTATAGAATATACACAAGATAGACTGTGCTGATTTTAATTGAATTATGATGTCTTCTAAGTAGAATCATCAACGTTGATGATGTATAATAACAATAATAATGAACCAGGTATTTCATTTTTCTCCCTATCTTTATTAGAGTTAATCCCTCACACTAATCGTAACACTAAAGATAAAAATGTCAGAGTGACGTACTTTCAGAGCAGTTTTTTTTTTCAGAATACAAAATCTTTCATAGAAAATAGCTGTACGCAAAACAAGATGAATTGTACTGAAGTAATTTGGTTACCAAGCTCGATATACAGTCTCACTCCTACTATTGTTGTTTGTTCAATTGCTGTTTTTACTCATACTATCTTTTGGGTTCAACTGATACTATTTTCATCATTAAGAAAACGAAATATGATGTGGTTATATGCATATTTAATAACGGATTTCTTTCTTCTAGCTCGATTTTTTATTTTCTATTGTATGCGCTATTGGCGTGCTTGTTTGTATCCAACATTTCATTTTATCACATGCTATTTGGAAGCAACATCAAAATTTTATATTAACATAGTACAAAGTTATATTTTGCTAGCATTAAATGCATGTCGTTGTGCACAAATTATATTTAATCGAAATGTTTTTATAAAAAATCCTCGTTTGATTATTTTAATTCATTTTTTGATTTATATTTTACCAGCACTTAATATCACAATACAAATTCTTGGTAATTGGACTGTATTATTGCGTGGAGCAGGCGAGTCTTGTGACATAGTATATATTTCCGTAACGGTAGCGATATTTAATCTATTCATCATATATATTATTCCAGTTCTCTTGAATACTATTATCATCGCATCTTGTATTCGTCATGTAAGTTCAATAAGAGGTATTCGTAGTGAACAAATAATTAATCTTCGTTCTAAACATAAAAAAACTCTTTTAATTCAAACAATAATATTTTATTCAATTTGGATTGTATTATGGAGTCCAAATGTACTTGATTTTCAATTTATTAATGTTAATACTCAACCTGGCATTTACACTTCATTGCTTAATTATATAGAAATAACAACAGATCCATTTTTTGTCGCTGTACTTGACATTCGTTATTTTCAATCATGGAAAATGATATGGCGTAAAATAAAAAGATATCGACAAAGAGCTATTGTTGCAGCGTTACCAGCTGCTCCTGAACAAATCCATTGACAGTCTTATATTCATCATATGTGATCATTATTCTAAGATTTTTTATATATAAATCATTTTTTTTCTGCTATACATATCATATTTATCTATTGATTCCTTGCAGATTTGAATAAGTTCATTATATTTTTGATTTTACGTTAAAAGTTAGGCTAGATTGTACAAAATTATCATGATCTCAGATGATCATGTGTCAAGTTTGATCAGAAGGTTTTCAATAATCTTATATCTGCTAAACTGTTATTTCAACCAAAATGATCGAAAAACTGAGATTTATATATGATGCTTGTTTTTTCTATGGTGAGTATCTTAAAAGCACACCCTATTAAAAATCGCCCTCTTTGGCTTGTCTTCTAGTTTGGTGCTCAAATTTCTTGTGTGAAAAACCTCAGTTGTTCGAATGCATTTTTTTATTGAGGGTGTGTGAATGTAAATGAAGTCAACACTTCCATCCTCACCCATCCAGGCCCAGCCACATTCACTTACACCCACACCGTGAGCGTGCTCATAAGGCATATGACCATTTTTTCAATAAATTTTGATAAAAACAAGATGGAGAGCTGCAGTTTTCATCATTTCAAAGAAAGCAATATTCTTCACGAAAGTAAACTCAAAATCCTTTTGGTCATAAATTGACGAATCAGGTGAAAGAATACTAGACATTTTGCAAACGACATTTCGAGAGTGCTTTTCAATTGGACATCGAGTAAAAATCTAATCATCGGATAAAAAAATTGTTGCCTTTCGATCTACACCAGGCCAAGCTCTCTGGGTTGTTTCATTCAAGAGTTATAGGCCTTTTCCTAAGACCACCAAAATTGACCGAACAATGGGTGTGAGTGTGGGTGAAGGTGTATGGATAGAAGAGAGAATAAAGAATAGCATCCACACCCACACCCACCCCGATAGTTACCGAATACCAAATAGCTTCACGAATGCGGACCACAGTGAATCGAAACAGAAACAAACAATACACAACTACGCAAACAGAATCCACCGACCACACACCTGATTATTTATTATAAACAGGAGAAAAGACTCGAGAGTAACAGACGGCATATTCTCCAACTATGGGAAAAAACATTCAAAACAACGCACAATATGAACAAAAAACGTGTCGTCGGAACTTATAGCAATAAAAATCTAACCCAAGGACTAATACGGAGATGCCATCATAGACACAAACATGTCAATGCCTAATAAATGAGACGAACAACAATTACGACAACCCATTTAGTGACAACAACACCGCTCGCAGCAAAAATATGAAAATTAAACACTACTTTTTCATCGTTCCATTATACCATTATAAACATGAAAACTAAGTAAAAGTGAATGAGAACGATCAAAAATCACGTGAATATGCGATTTCCCTCAGAAATCTATACAATCGAAAATAACGATAATATACTGCATCGATCTCAATATAAACGAAACTTGATCTGAGCTGTGGGTGGATGTGGGTGTGGATGTAGGTGTTTCTTTTCCTAGCACCCACACCCACCCTCTAGTTAGAGACTCACGCAAATACTAAAATCACCTTTTCCACATTGAATAAAATCAAAAATAAACTATTAAGATTGAGTAACGAGCGCATTAGATCATTGATTGAATGAAAGGTCAAAAGGTTTTAGTACAACCAGCCCATGCAAACATTTCTCAATAATATCAATTAAGATTTGTTTCGGAAATGATTGGAGTTTTAAGAGTGACATCTGTTTGAAGCAAATAATGATAGAATTTTCTTCAAAAGAGTGTCGTGTTAATTCACTTTTTCCTTCAAATACAGAAAAATTGTTTGAAAAAAAACACATCTTTAAATAGTTATATGGAAGTTTTAACATACACTTTGTTCTCTTTCGTTTTTACAACGGACTGCACCTCACTTTGCCTCTGTTTTTGCATGAATAAAAATGTTAGGACTATGCAAGAGAAATGAAAAACATTGTTAAACTAGTAACCGTAATAATCACATACGGAGAGTGTGACTATTCTCCGAACTCACACCCACACCGATCTTGTAATGTCACAAGAAAAGATCAATTGAGCTACAACGTGAGATCTTACAACGAAGAAACTCTCCGTATAAATTTCAATTTTGATTGAGAGTGTGAGACTTAAAAGTGATTACTCACAGTATGTTTCAAGTCTTATTAAGTTGAGTTCTATTCGGAGGTTTTTGAAAATCAAATTTATTCAAGCAGATAGAATTAAGTAATAAAACGAACTCATATGCAATAAAATTTAATCGTTCGCCAAAAAGTCAATCTGATGAACATAGACCAAGTGAGAAGTTGAATTGAATTGTACTGATGTAGTTATTTTGGTACGATGATGGCTTTTATTATGCAAACCCATAAATTCACATTTTTCACATATATTTATTCCACAAATACATAGGTAGCGAATCCCTATTATCGGTTGCATAAAACGTGAATTGAATTGAATGTTCGTATGATTGATTTTACTGCGATCCTGTAAGAAAAGCAACTTTCTATATTCATTTGAAGCTTTAATGCATAACAATGGATGATTGTATAAATTATTCGGATCATTATATGCTCTGCTAGCCGAATGACATGATTGACAGAAGTCAATATCTGGGCAAAATAAACATTTATAACGATCACCTTTTATTGGTGACATATCACATCCATCACAAGTAATATTTTGATGAATATTCGTATTCGAATTTTTGACAGTGAGTTCTTATATGTTGTGATTTTCGTTTGACATCATCATCAAATTCCACTTTACATACATCGATCATTTCCTTGTTGCTATCCAATCGTAGTGTAACAATTTCTTTTTGTTGATTTGATTCACCATAATACTTATAAATGTATACCATTATTGTCGTTGCACCCGTTAAACTTTGTTGATGGTTAGCAAAGTATTTTACTCGAACTGTATATGTTCCTTTAGTTGCCTTGCGAATCAGATATTCCTCTGGCCCATAACCACGTGTAAAATCACGACTTATCATACCTCCATTAGCTGTATTTTTATGAGAATAATAGCATTCTTCGCCAGTTGGTTCAATAACATGTAAATCAAGATCTGTATCCCAGACCAAAACTATTCTTAAATCAACATGTAAATGTCGAATTAGACGATTATCAAGAGATGCCGCTATTTGCTGTTGCTGATGAAATCTAAATAGAAACCAATTCAATTCGTGTAATGCTGTAACTTCAATTTCAGCAAAACGATTGTCCCATTCACCTAATATAACTTTCTTAAATAGATCTGATATTTCTATGATATGATTATATTGAATATTAGTCGATTCTTGCAATAATAATGCTAGATCTCGAAATGATTGTGGTTCATTCGATCGCAGAATTGAAATGTGTCGAAAAATATTTTCAGCTAAATTGGCAAGACCAAGTTCAACAAGTTTATAAGCAACTGTTCGTAACTATTGTGGTGATTCTAATTCTAATACATTGGATAAAATACGTTAGCCAAAGTATTCATATTGATTTGAATCGAAATTACTAGAACTAGTTTTGTTTGGAACTGTTTGAGTACCAAATATTCACATTGAATGATGTTGATTAAATGTATCGATTGCTGATGCTTTCAACGAAGGAGAACGAGCTTGTGAGACAAAATATGATGCGATATCGAAATAAAAAGACGGTGATTTAGCATAGGATTGACGTTCATCTAAATAAATCTGATAAGCTACTTGTAAGTTAGTGCTCGATTTAATTTTGTCCATGTACGGTGTTTTCGGATCCCAGTTTTGCAGAACAATTGTTTGAATATTGCTAGTACTATGATCAGCAATAGTGACACTACTAGTGGTAATAACAGTAGGACGAACAGAAGGAGGAGAGAGAATTACTGTCGGAACGTTGCATTCGTTGCAGTGATTGTCTCTGAACCTGAGAAGAGGCTAGAAGGTCTTCTTCTTGAATTGCAGGCTTCGAGAAAGCCATTATTTTTTCAGATTGGCTTAGGCTGTAATGTAATTGCTGTAGCGATTCTCTTGCCTCTTGATGCATATGTGCAAGTGCCATTCTTCTACGTTCTATTCTTTCACGTTGTTCTCTTTCAAGTTCTCTTGTTTGATGTTCCATTTGTTCAAGTCGACTTGTTTCACGTTGTATTTCGTAAAATTGTCTTTCGAGTTCTCTGTTTTGTCTTGCTGATTGATTTTCACGCATATGGTACCTTAGCTCTAGCATGCGTTCACGATACGTCTCTCTTAGCCGTTGTGTTTCCCATAATCTTTCTTCAATATCCCTTTCTCTACGATTATATAATTCAGAAAGTATATGTCCCTCATCCGAAAAGTGCATATAGAGATTATCAACAGTTTGTTTTTTATATGCATTCCTACGATCTATGTCTGTAATTGTTTTATCATACCATGAGCAACGCGCTTGCCATCACTTTAAGACAGCACTATTTTTTCTTGACTTTTGGTCAATTCTTGTTGTTTTTTTTTCAGTTTGATACTTCATATAATCATTATAGAGTGCTGCACGTGATTGATGTGGACATATATTATATTGAATATGTTGTTGCAATGTTTCTATGACAAGTATGGATGTAAAATCACTTACGATCGAATATTTCATGCCAATATCTATGATGCGCTTCTTATTTTTTTCCGGAAATGCAGTTAATTCAGCTAACATTTGTTGCGCATATAATCGACGGAATAATTCATAGTTTTTAAATGTTCGATCTGCTTTATCTATCGTCAATTCTTTACGATGCATCTGATTCAAGATCATGAAATTGATTGCAATATTCACTGGAACCGATGATAACATTTTTCCGACAAGTATAAACTGTTCTGTATTTGTTGCTAACATAACTGAATGACTTGGATAAATGCCATGAACAGATGTGTTATTGAGAATATCTGTATTGATATATCTTGGTTGTGGTCTATCAACCCATTGGATGATATCGTTTACATTATTCTGATTTACAATTTTCTCACGTGCAATATATCCACCGCCACTGAGGTTAGTTAAATGATTAATCAATGAAAAATTTGTTGATTCATGCGCGAAATTGGCATTCAATATCCAAATTGGTTTTGTTGTCCACCGATCGAATAGTGTTGGATCATCATTACCAACTGTCCAAAGACAATCGCTAAATAAAAAATAGTGCGTCACATTTAGAACCCTAGTTGAAATTGTAGCTGTTTTTTGACTATCAAGTGCATTTTCATTGAATTGTGGTAATGGTGGCCTATACGATAGAGCAAAATAGGCTTGATTATGATCATCGTGATCAATTTCTACGCTGTAGACGGGGTGTCCTGGTGCGAAATTTTTAAGNCTCTTGTGATTTGTCAAGGCTACCACAAAATTGGCTGTTATTTGGCTTTTGGTGCGTAAACTGTGAAAGAAATTTGATGTCTCATTTAGAAATGAATTATATTCCACATTTCTACATTATTTTCTTAGAGAAATGGTTTTAGAAATGTTAATTGAATGAAGTTGCATCTGATATGTATGAACATGAGCTATAATTTCAGTATTTTTTACATATCCACATTACTTAATTCAGGGATTTCTGTTGGATTCCAATGGGATTTCTATGGAATTTCCGGGATTTCTATGGGATTTCGGGGATTTCTGTGGGATTTCGGGGATTTTCATGGGATTTCCAGGATTTCCATGGGATTTCAGGATTTCCATGGGATTTCAGGATTCCCATGGGATTGCCAGGATTTCCATGGGATTGGCAATCCTGGCAATCCGCCGATTCCCCCTTGCCAATAATCTTGTTCATTTAGTTGAAATGTATGTGGTTCTTCAAGTTCATGTCGAAATACAACTACCGTTATATTAACATTGATACTATTCAATTGCCAAGTGGTTTAATATGGTCTTGAGCATATTTATTTCGTGATTTCGATTTTCAACATTGGCTCGACTTAAACTTGCATCCCATAGTATACAAATGGACATTGTTTTTTGACTATCGGATACAATGTTATTGAATTGTGGCAATGGTGGCACATAGCATAGAGCAAAATAGGCTTGATTACGATCATCAGGATCGATTTCTACGTTGAAGATGGGCTGCCCTGGTGCTAAATTTTTAAGCATGTACGAAATCGACTGGTCACCTTCCAATGGTTCAACATTGACTTGATGAAGTTCGGAGCAATATTTTCCATTTGAATGGAACTGTGGTTCACAATGATTTGATGTTTGTGTACATATTAATGAAATATCCAAGTTATTGAGAATTGTAGTAAAGTAGATTGGAATATTGAATAGAAAATGATCATTTTCGATTTTTGCTTGATCTTGATAAATGGCACGTACTATTCGTTTCCTCCAGCTTGTATTGGATAAACTCTTGTACGAAATATATTTCCTTGAACCATTTCAACTAAGCCAGGATCAACACCTTTCTGAACCTCTTTTTCACATGTCACCCGAGCTTTTTGCTTTTCAACAACAACACCGTCAACAATGACACCATCAACATCAAGACCTATAGAAGAGAATGTGAAAACTTATCACTGCTTTCTACCAAAGCTGAATCTCATGTTTATCTATGCTTTACTCATAAGCTAAAAATACATTTTTCATTTAATATAGGTGTCGTTTATCATTTCACAAACTGAAATGTCATTCTAATAACTTTACTCACCGAATCCGCAAATAGTTGCTGTTTCAGGTAGCGTAAATTCCAAAGCTCCTTCTAATACTCTATTGTGTTCATTTTTAAATGTCATTGTTGTTGCCACTTGATGTATGAGTGGAAATTTTGCATTCACTTGTTGTTCGACGTGCAACTTGATCATTTTCAATGGTGTAGAAGCAGCATCACCAAACTTTGTGTTCGGACCAAAATACATTGGAAACACAGTCCGTGTAGAATCATCATTGGAACGTAAAGTCATCTTAAATACTACTTTGATGCAATTACAATAGATTCAATGATCACAATAGAACATAAATTAACAACACACAGTTTCTACACGAATATTACTATTCAACTTGAACGAAATCCATAATTGGGTGTGAGACTAAGTGTTCACAAAGTATGGAAGTCTTCTTTTCACCTACACTCACACCCATCCTAAATGATTCATATAATCGAGTCATTTAAAGAGTTCTATAGGAATTCTTATAGCCAACATGTTTCATCCTACTTTTAGTGGCATTTAATCTCGACCACCCTGGACTACAAAACGATATATAGAAATAAATTATGTTAGTTTCATAAGCTTAGCCATTCCATTTTAAAAATAATTGACCGGAAAAAATGACTCGAGTTTGACTTGAAGTTCGAGTCATTGTTTTTGAGGAGTATTATCGAGTCTATGAAGCTAATATAAATTGCTATATATCATTTTGAAACCCAGACTAGCTTAGATTAAATGACACTAAAAGTAGATCGAAATAATTCAGTTATAAGAATTTCTATAGAAGTCTTTAAGTGACTCGGTCAAATGACTCGCAGTTTTGTCGCTTCAATCGCACACCTATACCCATGCGCACACTCACTCTGTTGATTCTGGAGAAAGAATGTGTTCTCTCACAGGCAAGTTCAAACGGTGTTTTAAGATGACGTTTCACATTGAAAAACACATAGTAAATAGCAAAGATGATTTTAAACGCAAAAATAACGCTGTATTTAAACTTGGCATTGAAACATTGTTTTGTACAATTTTTTTTCGTGGAAGTAATGATCCGAAAAATTTTTGATTTTTGCCATCCATGCCAATCTATATAAAAAAAAACAAAATTGAAAAGAAAACTGTTTTGTGACGCCTCTTGTGCTTTATCGTATTTCTTCCTTACTCTAGTGACGGTAGAAAAATTAAGAAGTTTCTGTTATCAATATTTACCACCAGGAGAAATAACAAAATTCAAAATGAAAGCTATTTTGCGTTCTTGCACCGTCGTAAAATAATGTCATTTTATCGCTCCATCGTAATCTCCATACTAACCGATGAATGCGTTGATCGGAATGAAACCCAACATCGGAGGGAAAGAACCCACGAAAGAAGAACAGAGATTTTTCCCCAATTAACGCTTACTTGCATAAAGAAAAAAATGAAACCGGAAACGAAATTTGCTTTGTCCTGTGTCTTTTCTTGTGAAACTGTTTCATGGCTTCGGCAGATTTTTTGTTTGCATCCGATAATGCAATCACATGGGTAAAAAGGAAAAAGGGATTTTTTTTCAACTAATGCTGACTCTTGTATACTTGCTTGAGAACTCATTTAAATAAAAAACAAGTATATATATTGTAAATCAGCAGTCAGAAAACGTAGACCTTAGATGATTTTAAACGACACATTTGAGTGCATTGCATAGGGACCATGTAATGAAACCGAAAAACAACAACAGTTTACTGCTACAAGTAATCCGGTTTTTGTGACATGAAGAACTAATAGAAACTGTCGGCTGATATATAAAAAACACTCAAAAAGATACCTGAAACGTTGTATTAACAAAAAAAAAGCATTTTTTAAACAGAGACCATCTTGATATAAATGTTTTTATCACAGAACAGTCCCTTGAAACATCTAGATCATCAAAGCTTGGTAAGGTTAGATAGAACTCAAGAGAGTCTGTTGACACGTAGGTAAATTTAGCAGCAGATTCGAGAGTGTGAGTGTATTTGCGAGTGAAGAACTGAACTACACTCACACCCACACTCACTCTTGTGATTTCGTGAGTTGAAATAAAATAGATTCACGATTCTACTAGTATTCAATTTTGTGTGTAGGTCTTCTCATGAGTCACACTCACACTCTTCAATCATATGAGATAAAATTTGGAGCATTTGCCTATCAAACTAAAAACACATCCTTGAAGTTTAGTTAAAAAATGACGAAGATATTCAAATTTTTTTCACCAACGAACGTTTATAACATCTTGCATATGTCAACTGATAGAAGAGGAAAGAAAAACTCCATGTCTCTCTCATTGCCTTTTTGATAAATTTACCACTAACTATATATCTTTGCGCAAAGAGTGATGAGAATTTTTTACTGCAAACATGAGGTATGTTATAAATAAGGTATCATGAATCATTTTATTGCATTTATCTAGGATACACAACACATACGTTACTTAAGTTTGCTTTTTGAATAACGAAGCTGCCGATCTATGGCAAATGTGTTACTCAAATTTTGAAGCAGAGTTTAAGTATAGCATGCTCAAATGATATAGCACTACATTGTGAATACAAAACATCAAGTAGAAAATACATCTTTGACTTGGGTATTGTAGTATTTGCTTGAATTTTGTTTTGATCTTATGATTCTAAAGCCTTCTCTATACTCATTCTTATGTTTATAGAAGAAAAGAATGTTGCCGTTGATTTTTCTATATCATTTGAGAAGGATTTTCTGTACTCAATAAAAGTCTGGTTAGCATTATATGTTTATAAAAACCAAACAATTTAAATCTGGGAATAAACTTGAAAAAGTAAGATGGGAGACAAATTTTAAGATAAGTAAAACAGATGAATCGAAGACATTTCTTTGACATCCATATACTATCGTACCTCGTAGAAGCCGAGTAAAGACACCAATCATGTTAGAAAAATGAGAACAGTTCTCAAAATTTTCTTCGTTGAATTAACTGGGGATATTGAAAAACCCTCGAGCCTGAACTATATTCAGAGGGAAGATAAATATGATCTGCAAAAAAAAAATATTTAAGTAAGAGTTTTAGAAGAAGAATTTTTACTTGAATAGGTATGTGTATGATAAAAACAGATTGCAATTTCAATGAGGATGTTTATCAGAGTTCATGGCAAATACTTGTATGATATTGTTAATGTCTTCTTGAATATGAAGGAGTGACGTATGATCAGAGGAGCACGATACGCTTAGTATTTCAAAAGGAGTTGCTTAGTTTTTTAATGTTAAATGAAACTCGTTGATTTCCTTATAGATTTAATCATTAGATCACATTTGTTTGGACAATCGACGAA